TATATGCTAAATCATCCACAAAATATAATAGACCAATTGGCTATGATGAAATTCTATTGCCTAGCTATACTGAAGTTTGACATCTTTTGGAACCTGGAGAATTGGAAGGTGGAAAAAAACGTGCAACTGATATGAATTGGAGTCCTGAAACCTTTACAATCGATTCTTATTTAATAAAAGAAGGTCAACCAGTACTCTATAAACTTTATAATGGACCAAAACGCTCATTTGTAAGAGAGGAATTGCAAATCGTTCCTCTAGATACTGAATTACCTCCAAAGTATATTCTTAGCAGAGCTAGCAATGGTTAAGAATTAGATTTTCCGCCTCTTTCCTCAACTTGATATATAATTTGTTCGAAAGCATTACTTAAATAATCATCTATTTCAGCCCGATTATATACTATAATTTGCTTATTTCTTAGCCAATCCCTTCTTGTAGAATTTTTCTTGTCTACCTCCTCATTATCTCCTGGTTTTTTATCTACTATAAATTTTAAAAGTGAGCATAATGCAAATTTGAATTGTCCACGCTTATCAAATTCTTTTTCAAGTAAATCCCGTAATGGTTTTCTTTGGCTCTCTAGCATTTTTCTTATATCGCTCCCATTATTTGGATTAAATCTAGGTACTTTGGCATTATGCACGGCTACAGCCCGTCTTTTAAGAGCAGGGCCTAACTGTTGTTCTCGAAATATTATATTTTCTCCATTTTCTTCTGTAATATTACTTAGACGTTGAAATTCATCATTTAGTAGATTTAACCGTTCTAGCATTGCTATTTCAGACTGTTTATCTAAAGATTCAGCTTCGCTATTATTGTTAGCATTTTGTTCTTGTAAGAATAAATCGTTTTCTTCATGTTCTGGAGTACCACTAAATGCATTTGGATCGATTTGAATTAAATCATTATAAAGACGTTTACATTCTGCTAAAGTTTTTGGTTGTTCATAATCCTGATAAGTTACTTTTTTATATCTTTTTCGTAATCTTGACCCCCATTGCTTAACAGACTCACCTGACCTTCTATCATTAAGATTTTTTATCTCACAGGGTTGTAAAACCTGAATGGGCTTTGAATTGGTAATTATTTCGGGGTTAGGTGTAGAATTTTGTGGTCTGCATGGGTTCTTTCGGTTTAAATGTTGTAGAAGTTTTTGTGGGGTTGCACATGTATATCCACAACGTTCACAAATTGTACTTTTTTTATCGCTTCTAATTTTTTTTGCCATGGTATAATAAATCTAACTGAAACGTTCTTTTTATATATATGCGTATATTTTTGTTCAATTTAAAATATTTATTCGTTAATTTTTATTAAACATATAAAAAATATATTATTATATGTATAAGCTTATTTCAAAATGAAAGCTGGATATACATGTAATTATCTTCACAATTCTGGAGAAACTTGTAATAGACCTTGTATTAGATCTGAAGGTTGTCGACATCATTATAATAGTAAAAAACGTATTCCTTGCACTGATTGTGGTAAACCAACTGCTTCTGCTTGTGGTAGATGTGGTTTACATAAACGCGGATTTTATATGATTAGATATGTTAACAAATTACGCGAAAAAGCTAATATAGTTAAAGAAAATTTTGGTTAGATTTCCGTCCTAATTTTCTACCTTATGAGAAGAGGATAAAAACGCTTTAGAGCTTAAAAAACCTATTAATTTTACGAAAAATTTCTTGGCTAGATTTTTTGGTTATATTTATAAATGCATATCTTTTAGGCTTTATAGATAACAAAACCGGTTTAAAGATAATAGGATAATTAAGGATTCTATAGCCTCCCGTAGGCTGTTTTCCGATAAGAAATCATTTTTTATACCCAAAATCCGATTAAAAGTACGACGAAAATATAAACCAATCGTAATTCAAGGTACGCGGAAAATGGAAAGGAATCGTTTTTTGGTTAGATTTATTTAAAGCTAAAAAAAATATATAGCAGAATCGTTTAAATCCACACAACAACACCACGGGGGCTTGTCTCAAAACCCCCAAAGTGGCATTGTGTATCCATAATAAGTAAACAATAAATAGTTAAAAGAAAGTAGTCTTTATTTGCAATGCAACAAAAAAATTTTAGAAAAGTATAAGTATATAAATTGTTAATAATTTTTTACAAGCAAAAAAAAGAAGTAAATACTCATTTTTTTGCAGCAGTACTGTAATTATTCACTACATTAATAAACAAATTTATCTTTATAAGAGTATTTATTATATATAAAATACAAAATATTAAAGCAATAAATTATAAATGCTTATAATAATAATAATAAAAAGATTAGTGAATAAAGTTTATACATAAATTAGATAAATCATTTATTTATAATTTAAAATTATATTTTAAAAAATATCATTAAAATAAACAATAAATCAAATAATTATTACTAATCATTGAGGATGATTTGTAAAATTCAATAATCTACTTATATAAATAGCATTGGATGAACAGTTGCTATAATTGTTGAAAGATTAAATGATTTATCTGCTTCTCAAATATTTTTCAGATTTTTTCTAATTCATCAAGAATAATTGAACATAAAATTTCGATATTTTCTGATTATTAAAAACCCTAAATCTTGATATTTTTCTAATAATTTTCTTCCATCAATTTCTAACATAATTTCATACATAAATTTATTAAATCCTATTACTAAAGGTTTGGGTCCTCTCCAATTCTTCATTAGAACATCCAAAGAATGGTTACTAACATTATAAACATTACAAGCAAAAGTTAGTGATTTTAAGTTTCCTGGTAGTGTTTCATTTAATATTGTCAATATTTTATCATAATCTAATTCACCTCTAGGAAATTTATAAAATTTAATATTTTTTAATTTAATGCAATTATTAAGTACTTCCATCAATTCCTGGTCTAATTCATCCTCATATATTGTAGATAAATCTTCTAAATTTTTACAACATTGTGCAATTGATTGAAATAGCTTTCCAAAGAATCCATCATTGTAACCAACAACAATCAGATTTTTAAGATTTTTTCCATTGATATTAATAAAATCAGACAAGTCTGATATCTGTGGTTGAGAAGCAATACATAATTTTACAGATTCAATATTTGGCAGTGAAATATTTTTCAAACTTATTATTTTTCTATTAGCACAAGTTGTTAATTCTAAGGTTTTTAAATTTTTAAAAGTTGGTAATAAGAAACTATTAAAATTACTTCTCTGAGATTTATAAAAAATTATTGATTGTGAATGAGTCAATATTGCCTTTCTTAATTCATCTGGTAACATTGGTGATACAATAGATAAATGTTTAATTTGCTTTTGTGTTTTAATTAGTTGTGCTAAATTATATATACTTTTGCCATTACTATCATAATATATTAATGATTGAATATTTTTACAAATATTTGCTAATTTATCAAAAAATTCACCACTACCAGAACTATTACAACTTATTTCATAAAGATCCTGAAAACAATTATCAAACCTATGATGATTAATTAATAAATTACAATCTAGATAACGAGAACTAAACTTTTTAATACCTGCTGAATGATCTAAAATAAAGTTTACTAATTTATTTTCTAAAATTTGTAGATTTAATTTCCTCTTTATCAAGTATTGAAAATCATAAAAATAAAGTATAGTACAAAATCTAGCATAATTGTATAATGGTGGCCTCTCTAATAGTTCAAATGTTAATTCAATGCAATTTCTAGTTAAGAAATCCTTGTCTTCTTCTAACATACAATTAATTAATATTTTGATACTGCCTTTAGAAAAAAATGGATTCTTCCATAAAATTGGAATATTTATATTGTGCCATTGTTTGTTGACACGAATACAAGAATATAATGCTTGGTAATCATCTTCAATATATTCAAATATTTCAGTCAGAAGTTCATGTGGCAAACTAATTATTTCAATCATTTTTTTTTTTAATAATTTGTTTGTCGCACAATGATGAAAAAAAAACTTTTTATTTATCCAACCAACATACGTATAATGGTGAATACAACGTTCAATCCAAAAGATTTACCATGCTTATTCGAAAATCTTGTTGAAATTAAGGAGAAACAGGAATGGAATTTTGCATCAGAAGAACAAAACTTTTGGCTATTTTCCTGAATTATTTTCATTATTTAATTCTTTAGAAAATTATTCTATTCAACTTGTTGCTAATAATTATTTTATTGAGCATTTAAAAAAGTTAGATAATTCAAGTTCCTCATCTATCATAGATGAAAAAGGCCTAAGCAAATTATTGAAGCTCCCATTTATGAAATTTTGACATCCGATAATTATATATATATTCATCCATTAATTTCATTTATTATGAACATAAAAAAATTCAAATTTATTTTACTTTCTCGATATTTTATATATATACTCATCCATTAATTCCATTTTATTATGGATGTAAGAAAATTCAAAATTATTATATTGCGAGCAAACAAATCCTAGCTACAAGCTCGTGACATGTCCAACAATATATATGAATAAGATAAAGCATAAAGTCCAATAATTATATAATCTTCCCTGACTCCCGGCTCAAGGATTCCAATATTTATACACGAAGCTAGTAGCTTGTTCCCCAGTTATCTTGGGACTCTAACCCTCAAACCTATTTACATTGATGACTCGAACCTGTCAACCGGTTTATTCCTTCAAATAGAACTCTAATCTACCTAATACCAGTGATAAGACTCTAACCTATTAGGCTAATAAATATAAAGAAAATAAAGAAATATATACAAGAAATATTTACAACTATAATTTTATTCACTTGTGATCGATTTGCTTCAGTCATTTACCCTTGTTTACATTTATCGGCTGATTGTAAACCTGCTTTGGTTTACCTGTTTAACAGCATTACATTCACGATTACAATAATATTACCAATGTTTTTGATTAACCTTTGGATGGACGATACTTCATTAATACCCACTATTTAACCAACGCTAGTCCTAATCTTGCTTGCTTGCTCACTAAAGCAAATAAACGTTGCTTTTACCAAAGCCTCACAATCATTACCTTTTACTAAGCACTAACTATACTACGCTTGCTGTCCTTATCAAAGCGCTTTAAAATAAAGAAAATAAAGACAATGTTTTTATTATTAAACTATTAATTTTATTTAACATTCTAACACAGTTTATTTTATTAGAATGTTAATGATCTATTATTCTTCTCTGCAAGGTTCCGAAGCTATACTTTTTCAAGCAAAAACAGAAGTATTTCCGCCGACCACTAAAATAAAGATAAAGATTGGTTTATTATTGCAAAACAACTCAATCAATCAATATTGACATTATAAACTTCAATAACTATTTACGCAGTAATTTGACAATAACTATAAAAAGCTTTGCGTAAATTTAAATTAGTTGACCCTGGAACATAAATTATTGAATCCCCCTAATTGATGATTTTATCTACCCCGATCATGTATCACGTCATAAATGAGCGTGTGGGGACCGAATTTGTATTCAGCAAAAGAAAAACTTGGCTCCATAGGAACAACTAATGAAACAAAGGAGAGATTAGGATACTCGAGAAAAATATATAAAAAAGAAAGACTTTGGAATTATTTATTTATGTAAACTTTTATATTTTGTTAGTCTTTAAGGCAATTTTACTTTAGCTTAATGGTCGTGAATTTGACGTAATAGTTTTACAACATTACAACTTGTGACAATTTGATAATGGATATCTAAAATATATTTACGGCATTACGATTACAGTATGTCAAAAGTCATAATAGTTTGGGCTGCATGTATATCTATTATCATAATCAATGGAGTGAAATTCAACAGGCATGCGATTATTTTGTATCAGTAACAAACAATTGAATTTTCCAGTTAAAAATTTTTACGTGAATACAGTTCACTCTCTCTATAACGAACCCTCTGTCCCTATATGTAATTTCTCTGCTTTTGGTAGTTATAGAGAGAGTTTATTAAGATGGTCGTTATAGAGAGAGAAATTAATTATAAAAAATTGAAACGGGGACAAAAGGAAAGTTCATTATAGAGAAATTTTACTTAGTGGTCGTTATAGAGAGAGGAGACTGTAAATTAAACTTAATTTTAATATTAATGATTAATTAACTGGTTAAAGAATTTTTGTGAGGTGCCAACCTCCAGTGGTGAACAATATGATATAAGTCGTATTAATTTATTACTAAGTCCAAGTTCATGAAGTCCATTATCATTTATGAATGATAAATATTCATTAAAAAATATGATTCAATA